AACTAATAAAACAAGTTTTAAAAAGATGCTTTTCCATTTGATTACATTTTGTATGATGGATTATGCAGAAAAAGTAGAATTGGGCTGAAAGATCTATCACTTTATCACCTCTTCAGGTTGTAAATCGTGTTTTTAAAAAGTAACTAAGTAACTAATTAGTTTTGAAAATAAGTAATCAGTAAAGTAACGGGATTACTTTTTTGGGGAAGTAATCAGTAATTAGTTACTGATTACTTTTTTCAAGTAACTTGACCAACACTGTTTAGCACTAGCCCTGTTGAGGAAGTTACTGACGGTAAGTCCAGTTAGAGTTCAGCAATGTGCTCGTTCAGTGTGTGGACTAGATGAGACATGTCTGTGAAACAGGACAGAGGAAAAATCCTTCCTCCACAGCTGCGCCTTTCACCAGGAAACCTGACACGCATTGTGTGCGAGCATGTGATGGAGAGACTTCCGACGTTTCTCCGATACCGTTTTCTTTTTTGCTGTGACCTCATATATAAGGACATTTGATGCAAACACCTTTAACCACAGCTATCCGGTTGCTGTTGTGGCTCGGCTCTAGCTGCTAAGTGTCTGCTAAGGTAAACTGGTTTTGTGTGCAGGTATTCTTCCTCTATTCCACTGAGGAACATGTCCTGAGTTAGGTCACCTCCATGAGGTCATGAGCGAAACATCTGGAAATGACAAAATCGGACCAACACTCTCAGGGTCTGCGCTCCTCTTTTGTTATTGTTTCCTTTTCTTAAAACGGCGTTTCACAACGAGCCCCACGAGAGAGACCAGAGGACAGAGAGGAGCGGAGAGCGAACGGGACTAAAAAAAGAACAAATGAACTCTTAAAAAACATCTGATTTAATTAAATGAATTGATGACTTGGAGCAATGTAGGGTTAGGAAACTACAGCAAAGCGGAGCTTGGACTCTACTTGGCCCGTGGAGGGAGGGGGGGCGTGTGCGGCACTGTAGGTTGGAATGTCCTGATAACAGGATCACGCAGGATGTTGGTGAAATTGTCAATTCCCTGGACGTCTTCGTCCCGAGGAGGTTGAGCTGGCTTTGGCATGACAGCTGAGTGCGAGAAATACCGCGTGTAATTACTTAAAGATGATGGGCTAAGGAGTCCACTCCAGGAAACAGATGCAGGGTGTTGTTTAATCCATCCGTGAGCTCGCTGGTCTCATCGTGTCTAGCTTTTTTTTCTGGGTTGCTCAAAGTATGTCTGTTCCAAAGTCTGGACTTGAAAGTCGCCGAGTGTTGTTCTTTCACTTTGTGAGATTAAAGTATTGTGCTTGGTATTATTTTAGCATGCTTATGTTATGGGATACAGAGTTTTTTACCTGCATGTTATCAGCTGTATCACGGACGTAGCCTCATTTGCAGCCTCTGAGCTCATAATGTCTTATTTGGTAATTCCATTTTCAAAGTGTTATCCAAGACGTGGCTGCATCACCTCTCGAGTAACCTCATAGCCCCACAGATGTGTGGGATTTTTGTGGGGGAAAACAATGTTTAAATCCCATATTTTCCACAGACTGTGGACCTAATGTAAATTCCAGCAAAGAAAAGCAGCAGCAGAGTGGAAATATTTGAGATATCGAAGGTACCTTTGAAAACAGAGCCCACCATTGGGCAAGAGCATTTGTTTGGCCTTCTCCCCAACTGTTTCTGAATCGTCTGTGCTGTGTGACTGACTTGCATCCCGCACACTCTCCCATCATGACCAGTCTGCCACTAATAAGGTCAAAAATCTAGATCTATGGCGATCCCTTCGATACACCCAAGTGTCAAATCTCCTCTGTAAGCCTCTTTGCAACCCACCTACACCTCAGTTCCTCCTTTTCATGTCATGTCTGTTGTAATCAGTGTCAAATCTTTTGTCTTGCTGCTTATTTCTCCATCTTGTGCATGTGGAAAGCTGAGGAGGTCCGAGAAGATAACGTGCCAACAAATATAAATTACTGCAGGTGGAAATAACCATTTTCTTTTGGCCAAAATTGAGGTCTTTTATTCCCCACCTGTCTTTCAGAGACGTGTCCCAAACAGGGATCACCTCCCTGCCAACCACAGGGATGGACTCTGTCCGGGAGCTGAAGGCACGTGATGCCTGGGCCCTCAAGAAACTGCCACCCATCAAGACCTTTAAGCACCTCACCGTCGCCAACCTGACGTACCCGAGCCACTGCTGCGGCTTCAAAAACCTTAAAAAGAAGCGAGGGTGTGTTTGTCAGTTCTTATTTTTTGTAGCTGGTGGAGTGTAGAAGGCAGCATGAAAAATGTAGTCCTTGAATTTCGTGTATTTGGATGATCCGCCACAGCGAGCGGCAGCAGCTGCACTTGCATGATGTAGATGTTGGCAGGGGTTGAATCAACTCTCCTGACGTGTTTACCTATAATTCATTACAGTGCTTCCATAATTAGTGTCACTCACTGCTGTTATTGTAGGAACGAGGTCGAGCCAGACTAGTAATGGCTCTCAAAACAGGATTCCCTTTTCCTTCAAGTGGATATAAAGATGACTGCATCATTATTTTATGGGCTCAATGTTCTGTGCGTTTGTCTGCATGTGTTTTTCAGCTTTTTGGAGTACATCATCTGCAACCTTACTGCTTTGTACGACCAGCATCAAAAGCGCTCCGTGGGGCCCCTGCGCATGCCGTCCCTCCAGGAGGACAGTGTTGTGGAAACACTCCCAGACCGGGAGCTAAAAGACGGGGGTCACAGAGAGTCCCAGCAAGATTGGAAGAGCGGTGACGTCCACGGCAGCCTGCACTACCACGCCTACTTTGGAGGCCACCCAGATGAGGATGTGGGTTTCGGAGAGACCCTAAAGAACCCCCAGGAGGACAACAGTCAGGAGTTTGACAATCGTTACGACTATGTGGTGTGCGAGGAGGGAGAGGAGGTGGCGTGCGCACCGGCGCCCGATGAGTTCAATCCTTGTGAGGACATAATGGGTTTTGGCTTCCTGCGGGTGTCTGTGTGGTTTGTGAGCTTGCTGGCTGTTCTGGGAAACGTGGTGGTGCTCCTGGTGCTCCTCACCAGCCACTACAAGCTCTCAGTCTCCCGGTTCCTCATGTGTCACCTGGCCTTTGCAGATCTGTGCATGGGGATTTACCTGCTGCTCATCGCCTCTGTAGACCTCTACACGCGCGCCGAATACTTCAACCACGCCATAGACTGGCAGACGGGCCCCGGCTGTGGACTTGCTGGGTTTTTCACAGTCTTCGCCAGCGAGCTGTCCGTCTACACCTTGACGGCGATCACTCTGGAGAGGTGGTACGCCATCACCTTTGCCATGCGGCTGGATCGCAAGCTGCACCTGCACCACGCAGCGGCTGTCATGCTAGGCGGCTGGGTCTTCTGCATCCTCCTGGCCTTGCTCCCACTGGTCGGCGTGAGCAGTTACCAGAAGGTCAGCATCTGCCTCCCCATGGACACCGAGTCCGCAGCGGCTCAGATCTACATCATGTCAGTGCTCGTCCTCAACATCTTAGCATTTTTCATCATCTGTGCTTGTTACTTCAAGATCTACTGCACGGTGCATAACCCTCACTACCACTCCGGATCCAAGGATACCAACATTGCCAAGCGCATGGCTGTCCTCATCTTCACTGACTTCTTGTGCATGGCACCAATTTCCTTCTACGCCATATCAGCCGTGCTGGACCGGCCGCTCATCACCGTGTCCAACTCCAAGATTTTATTGGTGCTCTTCTACCCGCTCAATTCCTGTGCTAACCCGTTCCTCTATGCCATCTTCACTAAAGCCTTCAGGGGAGACATATTCATCCTTCTCAGTAAGGTGGGCCTGTGTCAGCAGCGAGCACAGCTGTTCAGAGGCCAGACGGTCTCGTCAAAGGGCAGCAGCGGGACATCTCAGATAAGGAGAGACAAGGATAAAAGTCGCAAAGGAGGGAGCATAGGCCAGGAAGAAGTGCCTATCCACCTGAAAAGGTCCGCAGGACATACCTCCCACCAAGCAATCAGCCAACAGAAGAATCCTGAAGAGAGCCAGAGGTTGGACACATGAGGCCGGCTCAAGGCAGTAACATAAGACAGGCTCAGGTGAGAGGAGAGACCTTGAAGTGTTGGGATATTTAACAGACAGCTCCAGCATCCTGTATCTGCTTCAGCTTTCAGGCTGAGTTCAGCTGTTTTCACAATTTCGCCTGTTTCGATTTTATGGTTCCAGTTGTTGGAGAATATCAAGTGTCACGGAAATACGAGCCTGACTTCATCTCACTTATAGTCCTTTGCAGAATAGAGATCATTTTAAGGGGAAAGAAATGGCAGGATTAACACTCATTTATATGTTTTCAGTATCTTAATTATACTTTGAGGCTGATACCAAATGTGTGGCAGAGTCTGGCACTGAGACAGGCAAATATTATCTGACGTACTTCAGCTTCCAGTGACACGAAGCTCTTTCTGAGGAACTCTGTTTATATGTGATTATCGTGTTCAAGGACAGCCTGCTGGCTCAGTGCCGTTCAGTGGAAACTAAACCCAGGATGTAAAAAAAACGCATTTTCAAATCCATTGTATTAATACCTCTGTATATACTATAAATATATGATTTAGAACAGAACACATAGCCTATTGCTATTTTTTTGCATTTCTTGTCTAACTACATTTGGGGATTACAGTAATTTACTGTGATGTTGGAAAGTTGTTGTTTTTTTACAAAAAGTGCATTTATTTGCATATACCAACAACAAACTGATGTATCACTTAATTAGATTTATAAAATATCTGTTTACTTTTGCTCCATGTGTGATTTACTTTATCAAATGTTCGGTCGCTAACTCGTTCAGAAACCCCTCCAAAAAACTAACATCTCACATCGAACCATGTGATCCAAAAACAAGACCTATTTGGATTATTGGCAGTTTCTGCAAATCACACACAGTATGTTAATCACTAATGCATACTGTTAAAGCTGTGTGTCTCCTTTGGGATGTCCTGGTTGTTTTTCCAGCGTTATCGTGGTATTTTTCCATCCCTGTGTGGAAACCAGTGACTTCTACAATCAGCGGGGAGCTTAAAGCTAGCATACCTGAGACCCATGTGAACTTCTGTGATGCTGAGCTGTTAGGCATTAAAGGAAACCTTCTGCTAATAGTGGCTAAACATCAGGTTAGCATTTCCTCTCCTGAGTGACTTTAGAGATGAACAGGGCGAGTGGGGATTAGTTCACATCTTTTCCTTTAAAAAAATAAAATACATTTTGCATCCATATTTGTCTTGAAGATATTCGAGCAGATTGCTGCAATTTGTGTCAGCATGGAAAATATAGTGCAACATTCCCAACTTTGTATCACTCTAAACCTCACAAACTGGAATGGTCTCTACTTTCAAAGTCGGGAAAATTAAGAGTGGCATCCGCTGACTGCGTTCCAGACCTCGCTTGGCGGTGAATTTCCGAACGGACGGGACATCATTTTCAGTTGAACGTTTTCCACGGCTTCAGGTCCATCTCTTCCAATCACGCATTAACAGCGAGCCAGTCCGGACCCTTCAGATGCAAAGCACTCTGGAGCTGGAGCACGATGGGCCTGGCTGCCTTCATGAGAGGACGTCTCCGCTGCCAGCTAGTGTTAACTCACTGTTCACGAGTGTGTGCACGACAAGACTGATAAAAATCAAAGTCTATGCACATTTGCGTAGGTGTCTGGGTGCACACAAAGCGACTGGTGGTAGTGGCATATACCTGCAGAATCCAGCGTTTTCCCGAATGATTACATGGAATTTTATAGACTTGCAGGTACGGTCATGGCCCAAGTAATAGGCCGAGCCGAGCAAACTGAATGAGACTGTGAAATGGATTTATTTTGATATTCTTCTTCTAGCTGGGTCTCAGGCCTGCCTCATCATTCCTCTCCCAGTATTGCAAATAAACTCATCTCCAAGCCGTTCCTCAAATAAGCAGGCCCGTGCCCGACGATGCACCTCGATAACACCGGATTAGGTTGCCAAACTCAAATAGAGTGGGAAAAGGAGTCGTGAACAGAGGGACTGACGAGGTCAAAGCCTACGAGTATGCATCCAGTGTTTGGTTGTGGAAACAAAAAAAATCTCTTGCATTTTTGGCGTCATTCCTTGCGTTGGCCCGGTCGACGTGGATGGCCCTCTTAAAGAGTCAAGTTCCTCTGTCTCCTGGAGAGCTCTTGAATGATGACCAGAGCGAACTGCAGGGTTTTAGTCAGTGAAAACATTCATTCTTCTGTTGTTCTGCAGGTGGTTTCACTCATCAGGAAATGAGTTTCATATTTAGGATCTACAACCTTTGCAGACACTTGAGTTAAACCAGGAAAGAAAAATGGCTCCAAGCCTTCAACAAAAAACATTCTAACACTTTATACACAGGATGATGTGACAAGTGCTACTCTATACTACTGTTCCCGATAGTAAACCTTAGTTATTGTGCAGGTGTGTATGGAAGGCAATTTAGAACATGTGTCTACTTTGGATCAATTATTTCTAATAAACTGGAAATTGTTTTTATTGAGAAAGTTCCTGCTGACAGGCGACGTTTCAAATTATTCACAGCTGTTGCCGTGTGAAGATGATCCTAAACCAGAAATACATGAAACAGTGATGCAACTCCACCTGCACAACCCCAGTAATAAAACAAAAAGCAGAGAAGTGCTGGAGCGTTCGTGCGTACTGAGGTGAACTAAGACTGCAGACTTTGCAGCACCGTACTTGCAGATTTAGCCGAAGATGATTCATCGCAGGCTTTCTGCCCCACGTGGACTTAAATCACATGACTTTTACTTGAGTCAGACACAGGTATTAAAACTGATGACTTTAGGGTAAGATTGGGAATATGCTTAAAACTAACTGCTTCATATAATGTCTTTGGTTTTATAGTGCAAGAAACCAAAACAGCTCAAATATGGGGACAAAGCTAAAGTGCCTCCCACCTAAACTAAAAATGACCAATTCTGAAAGGTGTTGAAAGAGGTATCAGACACAATAAGGTTTCACTTTAATACACCTTTGTTCCCTAGTTTTAAATAACTTACCCATTCGTGTAAGAATGACTGAATCAACTCAGTAAGTACTCCACAGAGGAAATCACCCCATAACAGCACAGATAGCAATTATATGGCATTGGCATTGAAGCAGGCCTATAAGAAAAAAGAAAAGTGACAAGCTGTTTAGAACAACATTCACAGCTTGACGTGAGACAGTCTAGGATACTATAAAAGTCCTGCTGCAGCCCGGATAGACAGAATCTCTGCTGAAAACAGATGAAGGTTTTTGTCCCGTTTTTTCTGTTTTGTCACAGTTTGCTGTTTTCTAAGACTTTGGTAAGCTCTACATGCCACAGCCAGCAGGCCCGGCTACTCCACTTGCTACGTAGCTGATTGGCAGTCACCACAGGTTAGCTGGTAAGCAGAGAAAGCTGTAGAGTCTGAGCAAGACATCTCCAGGGTCTCATTATAAGCCTCATTCGCCAGCAGCTCAGATTCTTATGTCTGAGTGCCCAGGAGTAGCAAAAGGGCCCACTTCATCAGAAGCAGCCAGGGATACACTGCTCCTCCGCTACGTCTATTCAGCGCTGAAGTGTGATATATTGTAGAAGTGACAGTCTGCCCTCAAATCCATTTACAATCAAGTGCAAAAATCTCCATGTAGTTTCTGATTCAGCTTTGATCCCCGACTGCACCACACCTTTATCTCATAATTACCTGAAAGGAAATACGCTGGGATTGTGTCGGTTTGGGTAGGAATTAGAGGAAAAGCCGGGAAAACGCCCATGCTGTGCAAACCCTGACAGTCATCCAGATGGTGGGATATAGAAAAATGGAAAAGAAGATTGGGCGATGCAGATTCGGGGTCTCGTGCAGGTTGCAGCAAATGCATGAAAGTGATCCTACAGAGCTGTTACGCAGCGACAAAGACAGAATGTGCAAGGATTACATTTCAATCAAGAAATCTGAATCGTGCTGAGTTAAAGCTGTATTACAGCACGTTGCCGGAGCACGTGGGCCACAGTGATGAAGAGTTGGATGGTTGGTCCTTGCAGACAACCATGTCTGCCCATTTGTTTGTGACTGTGTGACTCATCCACAAAGACGCCTAACATAAACACAACTACGTACTTCAGAGAAGTGTCACAGAAAGACTTATGAATGGTGTTTACAGATACCCATGTCTGCAAGGAGGATAATCCCCGCTGTCTGTCAGACAGTAAGCCTTTGACACCGAGCGCCTTTAGCTGGTTAGCAAGTTAGCAAAAAGATAACGGTTTGCTAAAGACAAAAATAACTGTAGTTAGCTACAGCTTAAGACAAGATAGATTTAAGACATTTCATGCTCCTTTGAGTTAAATTGAGGGCCAACTTAACAACTAAAACCACAGAAAGAAAAGAAGAAACAAAAGTGTTTGGCTCCTGATGTTTGTCCGAGGCGCTGCTTAAAAAAAATTAGTCCTTGTTGTCATCTTTGTCTCTCAAAGTTTCAATGGATTCAACTGCCTTGATTCCTAATGTGTAAAATGTGGCTCACTCTCTACACAAAACAACGTACCTCATATATATTTACAGTACCAGCTTCAGCCATGCTACAAAACTCCGTCGTCATTGGTAGCTAGCAGACAGGACTACTGGTTTGAGTGTCTTGGAAACAGATTTAAAATTTAAATGTCAGAGAAAAAAACAACCAAAAACATTTAAAAAGTATGAATGCCATTAGAAGTTTCATTAAAGAATAATGAAACACACAAGTAATAAACTCATGAAACAGTTGGCTCACTAAATGGGAAGGGGACTGGTATTTGTTAAGGTCTTGCAGTCATGTGACTGCTAATTTTCCACCATTTCAAATGTGTAACACTGTAGCAGTTGCAGTTCTACTAAAGACCGGTCCATGACCACCTGCCAACCGCCGTTTGTGAGGATAAGATGCATCCTAGTAGCTGCTAGAGGCTGAAGGCGGTCACGATCAAACTGACTGCCATCTTGCTAGAGATTCACGACCCCCTGGCAACCACCGGGAAAAATGTGTGTTGATGCTCACAGAAAACTGATGCCATCTCACGTGCAAAATGAAACCGTTTACTAAAGAGTACACAGTACTGACTCAAAAACCTTTGATTGCCTCGGCCGCTAACAGATTGCTCCAGACGATACCAGGTCTGCACTCACCAACTACTCCCCTAGAAGAAGTGTGACACAAATCGGAAATGGAGACTGTGAATTGGTGAAGCGCAACTTTTATACACACATATTTAAACACTTCCTAATGATCTTGGCCAGGAACCCCTCCAGCTGGTAAACTGGAGGAACCGCTGACCTTCTGATTATTAGACTACCTGCTCTACCGCCCGAGTCACATCTAAGAGTAGCAGTTAAAAACAGTCTCAACAGGATTAAAAATGTGAGCAAAAATAGTTTAAAAGTAACTGAAATAACAGTTAAATAGTTTAGTGTTCAAGATGCTCCCACGAGTCATCGATAAATTTGCTTTTATCGGCGCAGAACCAAAAAGCTGACCAGGTATCACAGAAGAAGGTAGGAAGAAACAGAGGGGGCGAGAGTGACACTGATTTAGGCCACAAAATAATGCAAAAATTAAATTTTAATTTTCTTTCTTTCTTTTTATGCAAAAGACAACTTTATGTATTCAAAGCACAACCTTGAGTTTGATTCCAAACTTGATTTAGGAAAATTACACGAATACCAACAGTACAGTTCATTAATCATCAGAAGAGCAGAACACACGACAAAATGGTTATAGAGCACAGTTTAATAAGACATCCTTCTCAGTCTAGCATCTGTGACCCCCCCCCCACCAAAAACTGAACTAAAGTTCAAAAAGGCACGCACGACATCTACATATGGAAATGACGAACAGAGGAAAGGAAATAAATCTACTGGGGGCCGTGTGTGGAAAGTCTTCCTTTGGCCTTTCATGTAAAGATTTCATATAATTCAACTAAATCGTGTGAAAAATGTTCTGTTTTCTCCATCAGGTCCTGTATCAGGGTTTTCTTTGTGCAGCTAAAAAACAACTATGGAGCCACCCAAGCACAACAGTCAAAACACATATATACTTTATTTCAAACTGCTGCAACAGGGGCACTAAAAACAAACTGCAGAGACACACACAACCCCCCCTCGAGTTAAACTCACTTGGATAGAAAATATCCTCAGTTTAAAAGTCATGAATAAAACGGAAGCAGACGAGAACATACGGTGGACGAAATGGTTTGGAAAACAGCGCCGTGCAGCTTTTATCAGGCTGACATAAGAAGAAAGGAGAAAAGAAAAGAAAAGAAAAAGGAACACTTGTTAGATTATAAGAGCACAGTTTGGTGCGGCTTTCCAACCTTAAAAAAAAGAAAAACAATTTATAAACTTTCAGAAATAAATAGAAAAAACAGGACAGACACCAACCTCACTGCTCTGTGACATTTTCAGACTGTGAGAGAAATAAACTGAAACCTTTTCACAGAAAACCAGCGACAACGACACACACTCACCACGTGTCTGTACAGTCCCTCTCACTCACTCACACACACACACACACACACACACGTCTCTGCGGCTATTGATTAGACTGACTGACTTCACAACACACTGATAAACCGACAGTGCAAAATTTATGATGGCTGCAGAGAACTAAAAATAAAAGCAAAGGCGATTCACCAACAGGACAAACTGAGACACCTTTGTACAATCCTTAAATGAATTCAGTGTCTCACGTTTTTATCTTTATTTTATTCTTAACGTTAAAGATGGAATGAAGCTCCAGAGAAGCCAGTGGGGGGGTGCTGGGGGAGGGGGGGTTAAGTGCTGCGACGAAGATAAAAAAAATGAGTTATTGTAAGGTGATGTTATTTTACCTTCTTTTTAACTCCTTCATTAAACGCATTTAAAACATAATGTTTGAAGAACAGGTCGCCTACATAAAAACACTCTGGAGCACCTTTTTCATAAACGTGAATTCAGACAGAATTAGGATATAAAAAAAAAGAAGCCAAAAACAGGTGATTCTGGTCGTTCTAAAGGCAGCGATCTCGACTGGTGGCACTAAGTTTGGACACGAACGTAGACACGAGTCAATCCAGTCAACCGACTACAGTGATTGCAAAGGTGTTTCTCATCTATGGGGTTATAACGAATGACCTCTGACCTTGTGTGGCAGGGAAGCCGAGGTCACCCTGGTCCTCTACACCTGTATGATGGTGAAATGCTTTCTTTCCAAAGTTAGGTGAATTCTCTGGGGGGAAAAGGCAGAGAAGCCTGGAAGAAGAAATAAAGAGAAACGGCGCTCGGCTCACGGGGCTTTTCCCTTCCTCTGTTGGTTTCTCATCCCGCAAGGCTAGTCGAGTGTTTTCTGACTACACCCGGGTTTTACAGTACCTCACAGTCCTTTGGGTTTGTCTCAAGAGTTCTGAGTCTCAGAAACAGTTTCCTGAATGAATCCAGTCACAGGATGTGGAAGGATGCTAAACTGTCTGTTAACTGGATAGGAGTTACAGAGATCCTGCTCCTGTTGCTTTCTCCCGTTCCTTTTTCTGCTTCACCACTCGGCATCCCCGATGGCTTTGGAGAAGACGTAGTCTCTCCCGTTCAGATTCATGATCCCATCCTTCAGGTGGAATTTCCATTTGTTCTTACTTCTGTGAATCTGCAGAGTAAAGAGAAGGAAATGAGTGTTGTAGGCGTCAAGGACAGATGGACATTGTTTCAGCTTACAGTGGACGCAGGCTGATGTCTTTAGCCTCTGCGCCGAGGCCAGACAAACTCACTGTGGCATCAACCGCTGCTGGAGCCTTTCTCCACTGAATTAACATCAAATAATGTAACAACTCGATGCTTTGTGATGGGAATCAAAGGCAAACAGTGAAGACTCACAAGGAATGTGAAATACCTCTTTAACGATTTCTGACATTTTCCCCCAAAAACGAGGAGGCTGCTGTGAAAACTGTTTAAGCCCCGTCCTTCAATCTACAGCAGCCTTTACAGCGCCCTGAATGATACTGGCAAACAAAGGCTGACAGCGATGCTGAGTACCAATCACATTAACACGGTAAAACTGCTCTGCGCTGTTATTTTATAATCTCTTTGTTTTCACTGCTTCTGCAAATCTCAGCATTAACATCTTTGTCTGGATGCTGATGTGAAACTAAACGAGTCGGATATGCATAAAAGCCAACGGGTCCCAGCGCAGGAGGATCTATATCAAGACATGTCATAAAAGTACCAAAGAGGCACTCGCATATTTATACACAGGCAGGTTTGAACACACTGCAGCCTTTCAGAATATATCAGTTCCTACCTTGTCGTACTGGCACACCACTACGTTGTCTGTTTCAAACAGCTCCTGGTCCTCTTCGTCGCTGACGTCGTCTCCACTGTTCAGCGGCTCCTGAGTAGGAAACCAAACCAATCAGATTCATCACAAATGTTTGCTGCTCAGGAACGTGGCTTAAGATTCAGGATTTTCTTTATTTAAACAGTAAAAGCACAAATCTAGATTGCAACAAGTAATAGTTTGATTTTAATCCCGTTCTCCTTTTTGCCCGATACCAAACAGTGCCAAATATAACCTGCTGTGTTATAAAATCTTCTGCAGAAAAGCCACACAAACTACAGAGTAACCTTTGTAGTAGGGCTGCCACAAACCATTATTTTGATAGTCGACTAATCAGATCATCATCCATTGGACATAAAAGTACAGCTTATTGCACCAGCAGCATCTGCTCTTATATAACTATCATTAGCTTACAGCTTTAAGTGTTTCAGGTGCTAACTAAAAATAAAGACAAGATGATAGTTTATTAAATGTTAATGACATTTGCAGATTGTTTCAGTGAAGTTTAATAAACTCCTTCTATCTAAAATATAACAGGACACCGGAGTAAATTCTCCAGCATCTCACACTTCTGATAATCAGCTGTCTGCTTGACGTTTATTCAGCTGTGTAAAAACTATAACTTTAATCTCAGCCAAACCGATTTACTCAGGAACAAATAAAATACTAAAAAAGCCAAACAACAACATTTTAAGTTATCTAAGTGACCTATATAGGTTTAACCTGAGCAGCGAAAGAGGCGGTGGGTTTGAAAACGATCTGCCGGGAGTCCGGTGTTCTCACGGCGCTAGTGACCTAGCCCCCGGCTAGCTATCGAGCTAGTGGGTAACAGACGTCTCCGAAAACGTCGGAGCACTTTTGAAAATATGCGGTGTCCTGATAAACTGAGCAGATATTTGAGGTTTACACAGCTACATTCAGCCTGAAAATATGTTAAACGTTTATTTTGTGACCCAGAAAGAATAATAAGAGTAACATTAAAACTAACTAGCTGCCGCCATTGTTGGAAACTGAGCTGGGCCGCGCTATGAATTCTGTGACACAGCTGCTTCTTCTTCTTCGGGGGTTTAACGACAGCTACCTGTGGAAAGCTACTGCTAGCTACTCTGGAAAACAAAAGCTCTGAAGAGGGGCAGAAACATCAGTGCTACAAGTTTACGGCTTTCTTACTTCATATTAAATGACCATAAAATTCTTGCCTACTGCTATTTTAACGTGCGAGTTTTTGAACACTCTTATTTCCTCCCTTGCTCACCTCTTCAACCTGCCCATCTTCTGCTCCATCCTTGTCTTTCTCCTCATCATCATCTTCGTCGTACTCCTCCTCATCCTCATCCTCTTCTGAAGACGTCTCCCCGGTTCCGTCCACCTGCAGCATCATGGGAGGCTGCTGTGCCTGAGGCTGGGCCTGTTGCTGCTGTTGGGCCTGGGGCTGCGCTGAGGCTTGTGGTGCAGTCGCTCCTGGGGCCTGCTGGACCTGCTGGACCTGAGCTGTTGCTGCCTGGCTGGGCTGTGGCGCCATAGCTGCTGCTTGCATCACCTGACAGTAGAAAGGAACTCAGAGTTTAAAAACACGTACGCCCATATGATGTTAGCATTGCTTTCATGTGGGACAAAATAACCAGCTCTTCACACAACAGACTCCAACTCAAAGCCAAAATAAGGACAGGACAGCAAAAATGATGCGACTTCAAGGAGCATTTTTGTAGCAAAGATAAGGTCAGCCAGCTAGTCGCCATGTTGGGTGTCAAGATATTTGTCTGTGTTAGCAAGTAAGCTAATGCTGGCTAACAGCTGAAAGAAAAAGTTATTAAAGAACTGAACTCGTGGAGGGAAGACCTCTGCTCTGAGCTAATGTTAGCCTGTTGATTTAAAAGCTAACGTTGCAGATTTTTGCAGTGTAGCTCAGTTACACTGGCCAGCTAACCAAATCTTTCCATAGTTACTCACACCAAAACTACATCTGAGTGGAAATGCTGTTTGTCAGTGTAATCGGCTGATCTGTGACACTGACTGATGCGTGATGCTTTCACAGTGCAGGTGTTATTATTAATAACAAAGGTTTCCCAGACGCTCCTCTAAAACATTAAACAGACTCTAATTTCTCTAAACAACAAAGAGAACAGAAATGGAGGAAACACTACTATAGAGCATAAACTACTTCCATATAAATGGAATGAGTGCAGGAGGAACTGAAGTTCTGACCTGTGTATTGCCTTGGACTTTGTTTCCTGGGGTTAAGACAATCTGCTGTGGCTGTATGATGACTCCTGCTTGCTGGGACAGGCCTCCCGGCAGAGGAGCCAGAACCTAAACAGATATTAGAGAAGGGAAAAAAAAACCAAACAAGACATGTAAACTCTATTTTAAAACAAGATCTCCACCTGAATATGCACAACACTTTTGCAACATTTTAACCGACTCAATTTAAACTGAATGAATGAAATTTGGCACTAGTTTTGATCTGAATCTGTGTTTTTATTTAGGAAAAGTCACAAGTAGAGGAGTCATGGATCTATTTCTTTTGGGGTAAGTGGTAAGCTCTGAGCAATCAGCATCCTCCCGATTTCCCAGAATCATTTCATGTTTTTCATGGCACTTCTTACATATTTCGAGGTTATTTTTCCAAGAATTGATTCTTCCACTGTGTCAGAGCCACAGGGCCCACAGATATGTAGCCTTATTTAACCTACTTGTCACAAACGGACACTGAACTGATTACGCAGATAAATCAGACACACCACGACTTTTTCCCCCACCTCTCTCCATTTGGCTTTGTTTTTCACACACATTTCCTCCTGTCATATGCAGCCTTGCCCCTCTGCATGACAGTTCTTACCTGCTGTATTACCGGTGCCTGCACGCCACCAGGCTGCATCTGCTGCTGCAGGAGGATCTGCTGCTGGGGCTGGATGATGTACTGAGCCCCGTTGGGACCACGGACTAACTGCAGGATCTGGCCTGAGACGTCAAAACAAAGCGTGTGGGTGCACGTTGTGTAAATATAGTTTTACACATGAAGATAGTTCAGAGAGAAAGGAGCATTTCTTTGCAATTTAATGCAAATAAACATGTTTTACCTTGGCTGGTGAGGAGCTGTTGGTATTGGGTGACCGCTGTGGGCAAAGCCAGGGTTGCTGCGGTAGCTGCTGCACTCTAGAGGAGGAAAGAAGAACACACGCGGTGACAAGCATGCAAAATAATACAGAAGCCGAGGATTTCAGGGTTCAAGAATGAAAGACTTCAATGTTAAGTACTTAATGTTTTTTGAACTTCTTTACAATTTAAAGCACTGAACTTCAGATTGCATTGACTGACATGATAAAAGCAGCATGTTTGTCCTCTCGCTGCATCTACAAAGCCACTGGAAAACGATTAAAAATTGGCAAGTGAAGCTTTGAAGAACCGTTTGAGGATTATACAAAAATCACTTGCAGAAAACAGAAAGAAGCAGCAGCAGAGATGAAAGCTTCATATGGACAGATGCTGCGTTAAACATGTGCTGTTGAAAAAAGTGGAAAAGATTTCCTGCATATTTCACTCGATGAAGGAAAGGTGTGTTTGTCAGTGCGTATTAGACACAGCAGTAGCATGTGGGAGGATGCATTACTGCTGGCTTATATCCACTGCAGTCCTGGCTATTAAAATAGTCCGTTAATCTCTTCCAAGTCCTGTTGCCCCATCCGTGTGACACTTGATCAATCATTCTGGACTAAGGAAGAAGCCTGCAGAGACCCTCTCTGGTTTCTCACTTCTACTCAAAGAAAATATGTCTGAATTTGTTAAAAACGTAAAATGAGCAGCACTTCGTTCTGTTCATCACACATATGGATATCGCATCACCTATGTCTGTTAATAAACACATTTGCTACTTGTTATATGCCTCCCCGAACAACAGTTTCATTTATTTTTGGTGCTATGATCCACTCACCATCCCCGTTCCACCCATGTGTATAAGCTTAGATTCCTGAACAATGACTTGCTGCTGGGGAGCTGCGGAGACAAACATTTTCAGGTCAATTCCTCATATTTTTCATAAAATGTACAAAGAATGCACACGATCAGTAAGCATTCATTGTTTCCTGTGCCAGTTCGGCAAATAACTCAAAGCTGCAGGCGACATTTTTAGTGCCCAAAAAGGCGTTCACGGGTTTTTGCACTTGTTCAGAAATGTTTTTACCACTGTGTGCCACTGCTGGCTAACCTTGCTGTTGCTGGGGCGGCAGGATGACCTGCTGGGACTGAGCTGGCTGGGTCACCTGCTGGACTTGTTGGACCTGCTGAACCTGTTGTTGCTGCTGCTGTGCGGCCTGCAGGGCTGTCTGCTCGTCAGTGTGGAAGCCCTCCACTGCCTTGGACTGCAAAAGCTTGTTCTCCCATAGCTGTAGAGACAAACGGAGGCAGCACAAAGACATGTGTTAGAAAGCTGCCAAAGACTCCATTTAAATCCATGCTAACATGTTTTCAAATGAAAATCTCCATCCAGGTAAATGTTTAGCGCAGATTCTGTCATTATCGACACACCTGTAAACGCATCACAACGACCAGACATGCCGATCGTTTAAATTAATTCAGTTTTATTTTTATAGTCACAACAACAGTCACCTTCAAGGTGCTTCATGTTGTAAGGTACAATAATACAGAGAAAACCTAACAGACGACCCCCTATGAGCAAGTGTTTGGTGACAATGGGAAGGAAAATCTCCCTTTTAACAGGAAGAAAGCTCCAACACAACCAGGCTCAGGGAGGGAACCAGGTAAAAGAGACTCTGGAGGAGAGCCAGACATCAATATTAACTAATGGGTCACAAACTCAAAGTGAGGTCAAATAAACTGGTTTAATCCATGAAGCTAAGACTGAATTTTTTGCTTATTTGTGTCAATCACATTGCCTAGGTAGGCTTATGTGCCATAGCCTCCTCTTGAATTGAGCATATCATGCAGTGTACACACTGTTTGAGTTGTCATTTCAATGGTATTCAGACACCACCTTCTCACAGGCATACGCAGGTGTTATAACAGTAAAGCAACACTGAAAGTCACACTGGAATATAGGGTGGTGATTGCACCAGAAAACTCATACAGAAATCGCTGCAAAGCTAATTCTGCAACACATCAGTGGCAGTGAGAGCACCATCCATCAAAGGAAACCATGGTAACCGGGGTGGGGGGGGGACAAGACATGAATGACATTTTTGTGAGTTAATCAGAAAGTTTCCAGAAGTCTGTTTTCTGTCCATCCAGACAGCAACTACAACAGCTTCCAAACTAGGAAATGGTCAGCAGTTATTCCAAAGCGCTCTGGTTTGGGGGAGCGTGCTACAGTACACTTTACTACAAAGAGCGCACACCTCTGCAGGAGGCGGCATTTCCCCTGCAGTTGCTATATGCAGGCGCAACACTGACAGGGACGGTTACCGTTTTCAGCTCCAGAAGAACTTGCTCATCTACTCCCTCGTCCAGGAACAGCTCTCGCACCTCATTGATCACATCGTCAATCACATTCTTGTATAATTTAGGCTGTGAGGAAGAAAAAAAAGAAGAAAAGAGGAAAGAAACTTTTACAGTATGGCGTTTATATTAGAGACACTTTTGCTTTTCCCAGTAAAGCATGAACAACATGTCTGGTACAGTCAGTATTGATCATTATGAGCTTGGGTTTTATGTCAAAATTAGCCCTCAACAGTGTACTTAGCAAACACACCTCCTCTTTGGGCTTCCCAGCTGCCAAAACGACAACAAAACATCAAGTATACAGCTGATGGTGTTATAATTATCACATTTATTTACGCCTCGCCACACTGACTTTCATTGGTATGACACGGTAATAGTTGTTGCACGCGGGCAGCCAAACTCTAAAACTGCCCCCACTTGAGTATCATGTGTGGGGGTTCGTGCTGCAGCGTTTCCACGGCACTACGTGCCTTGTTATGCTAACCCATATAAACTAGCTCTTTATGTTACTACTACTAAGGTAAACATCATGTCCCCGGGGTCTGAACTGCGCGCGCGCTGGAAAAAGCAAACATAACGTTTATAGCTCCGCCAGGGCCCAACGGTCCCGTCTCAGCGGAGTGATATGAGGCTGAAACAAAGCGACACACGCGCGGGCCACCGCACTGCGCTGCCCCGATGTCCGCAGCGCAGACCTCGGTCTCTCCTTCCCTCCCCCTCGGCCTGTCTGCTCCTCACTATTTAAAGCTCAGTCTGCTGTTTATATGTAGAGCCGGTGACGTAGCGTCGAGTAGCACCTTCCCATCCCGGGCAGTCTATATTAGAGAGCCAATATGGCTGTATAAAAACCAGGCAGCGAAAAGGAGGAGGGCCAGAACCGAGAGAGAAGGGAGACGAGGAAGCCATTTTACGGAGCCGCAGAGTGCGCGCTCGACAGCCTTTTTCTTTTAAATAGTGTGTGGCGGAATGTGAAGGACATTTTCGGTGTCTTATCTTATCAGTGCTCAGCTTTGGCTAAATATTTTTTGGCTCTGCTGGCAGGTAGCAAGGACAAATTTGATATGGTATGGGTTAAAGAAGTGGTTTGGGACGGCTACCCTGCCTTCTGGTCGTGGAATGGTGGACAATGATGAGGCAGTTGACGACTTTCTACTGAGGAGGCTTTAATATATATATATATATTTATATAAACTATATATATTAAACGCTCAATTCTCTCGCCGTGAATGATGACAATGTGCTTTGCGTACATCTGTATTTCATAAGCTATCCAATAATAAAAGCTTAAATTGAAAATTTCTTCCTCCTACGAACAAACAAGCATTTTAGACAACCTGGCAGCTCAAGCGTCCACCAAAAATGAATTTAGCCATACACGCTTATTAGACTGTGATCACGTAAAGTAACCTTCCAACTAATGAAAGCTTCAACCTGCCGATAAACCACTAAATTAGAATTACATCTTCATCGCTAAACCTCAGTTTCTACACGTGTTCTTATTTTTACTCAAACACTGCCTCTCTAAAGTAAGCCATTCCTCCTCCGAGATGGTTTCAAATGAAAGAACTACCTAGTTTCGAAAACTAATTATAATGGCCGATTGACTGAAACTTAAGTATTCCCTTTAATAGATATAACAGTGAAGTGTTTGTTAAAGCAGACTCATTTTACTGTAATACATAAAACCAGCTCGTCGACAGCTTTCCAATAACTTTACCCCCATTTTCCCCCGCTGACAATCCTTAGAGATTGATCCTTACCACTGGGTTCGAGTTAGCCGAGCTCGCCATTATACGCGTAGTGTAAAAACCACACGGAAATAGGCGAGGAATAGAGCCAAAAATTACGAAAAACGATTTAAAACAACTGGGAAAGATATTTTAAAACAGCCGGCATCACTTTTGTAAATAAAACACAGTTTAGGCGGTCTTATTTACAATCCCGGGCTGCGACTCCCCAGCCGTCCTCCTTCCGTCGTTGTCCTGCTTTATATACTGAGCGAAGAAGCTGCGAGTGCGCGAGACATAGGGCAGGGTCAGGTCGCACATAGCGCGAGATTTCGTGCGGAGTATGACGACCAATCAATAGAGCCGCTCATGGGAAATGTAGTTTAATAATACTCTTTTTTTTTTTTTTTAGAAAACGGAACTGAATCCTCAGTGATCGCATTAGCTTAATGCTCTGTGATCTTGTTTATTGAGTCAGGGAAAGTGTAAGTATTACGAACCATGTGATGAATTAAAAATAGAGGAATTAATTAGATAAAAGTAGCTGGTTACTTAAAATGCTAATAAAAGCCTATTAGCATATAGCTAAATCATTTTAAATTAACTTATTTCATTTTTTCTTTCTTTTTCTTTCTATTCTTTTTCCTGTTTTCCATCATATATTAGAACTGTATGCTGTAATGATGGATGCTCATATTAAATATGGGAAAACATTCAAATAATGCCTTCCGCATATGTACAAATCATGAGCTAAAAGCTCAGGCCTTGGGGTGGCTTTAGACAGGTTTTCTCAGGGGTTTCTGAGGGGCTGCCAATCAGAACCTAAAGCATCTCATTTTAGAAAGCGAATAAACCAAAGACCACTATAAGATAAATACAGATTATTTTAAAACTATGACTCATGTAAAGCTGCACTAGTATAGCCCAACAATAATAATAAATATCAAGAAATAGTATGTCTCCTTTAATGTTAACAGTTTTATTCAACATGTTTGGAGAAATGCTTTTGTCTAATAGCCAAGGTTGGTTGTTGCAGATTAAATATAATATTTTAAAAAATATACATATAGAACAGAATAGAACAGAATGCCTTTATTGTCACTATACAGTTGTCAGTGCCAACATGTTTATAGATGTAACCATTATTAATAGGAAAAACATGATATTCTTATCACATATAATGCATAAAGGCTATTTAAGAAATAGTGCTAATAATTTTTTAATGTATTCACTTGTAACAACACCAACAGTTTAATTGACTTTTGCACTTAATCGTTGGACCTTGTGTTAGCTCAGCACTACTTTTACCTAAGCAGAGGATCTGAATGCTTCTTTCACTACTGGTCCACACTTTAATACTTTCATGCGACACAGGTGCCTCTTAAACAAGTCTGACCTTTACCAGCTTCGTAACTGCACCTGTAATGCTTCTCTGTGGGGCCAGTGTGCTTTATGTAGTAACATCGTGCCACCACAAGAGGGTGATCACACCACGCACCAGGAAAACAGGCTCTCTCTTCCACATTTCAACACTCACACTCAAACACACACTCACACTCACACAATCCACTTTGTAAAACACGCAACTGTTTTCCACGTTATTCAATAAAAGCAGATTTAAGTGAATTTTTGGATGAGCAACATCCACTGGCCTTGTTTGCTTGCTCTGAAACAGACTTGCCCTGACTACCAAAGGGGAAATTTACCCCCCACAAAAAACAATAAAGCTTTGCAATAAATGAGAGCTGACAAGAGAACGTTACCTCCACTTCTGTCTCCATGGAAACTTGCCTCGCTGGTCATTCTGAGGATATGGATGATATAGACCGGGGAGCACACAGCTCTCCGCGTGCATCAATCCACTCAGCGGTTCAGTGTGGCTCTTCTGAAATGGCATATTACACCACCTGAATTCATTTCATTTAGTTCACTGAGATGAAATTAAAGGCCTGTCCGCCCCTGACAAGGATGTGCTTTTGGATTCACTTTAAACCTTTTCCAGTGGATAACAGTTGGGGAGGGAAAAAGAGGAAAGAAGTGACATGATAGGAAAAAGACTTTGTTTAATCTGTGCTTCTGAATGTGAGATTTCATCAGACGTGAAGCCACGTTATCCATGAAATGTTGTCGCTACCTTTGAGTCTCACTCTCTGTAACTGAGTAGTAAGATGCCCTCTAAAGATCCACAGAATGCACACTTTTCTTTTCTCACCCCCCTCTTCTTCTTCGCTGTAGTTGCATAGCAACAGAGGAGCTGCTAGCTCCAGTTGTGTTGTGGTGGGAGCGTGCTGCACAGGGAGGCACTGGCTCAAGATTAAGCCGGTCTCTGCTTCAATTATGAATGGGCTTCCACTGCCACACGGCTCCAAAATGGCACCACTCAGATTGATAAGACACTGAGGCACTCTTTGGTACACTTAACTCTTTTACTTCTTTCCCTTAGGGAGGGGGAGCAGGACTTTAATCAGAAGTATTGAACTTAAATGATTAGAGGAAGCAAATGAATAATTAACTGGCGGGAAAGACTTGGTTATGATAAGACCCTTGTTGATGGGAATATGTGAGGTTAATGATTGGGGTCAGTCTTGAGAGCAAATTAGAGTCTCTAGTATCACAAAGGTAGCACTCTACTAGTAAGTGTGGGTTTGTGTGTGGTGCTGAGGAGGTGGATGACAAAGGCTGACATCCTTTACTACATTTCACTTGAAGTGCTGAGATGAAAACAGCTAATTGTTTAGTACTCTGATCAGCTTCCAGTCAATATGTTCTTAACAAAACTCAGAATGGTTGATTTACAGCAGTTTATGTGTGGTGGAGGTGGGTTGCAAATGGGCTTGCAGTGTGCAAAAGTCTTGAGACACTTAATTTCTAGATTATTTTATTTTGCTTCCAAGGAGCCAGATTTTCTCGAATTTTTAAGAGAAATTCAAGGTGGGCTCAAAGTGGGATTTCAAAGTTTTCTTGTGCTTTTTCAGTCATTTCCAGTCCAGTCCTTGTACCTGACCATTTTCAGAGGAGCTGTTTAACACTGACCTAAGCATCATTCAAGAATAATATAAGGCAACTGAAGAAATTAACCAGTGTTGCACCTAAAACAGATGCCTTAGCAAAGAACCTATTTTTAGTAGTATGTTAAGGTACTTTGCTACTGGCAGTCTGTTGCAAAAACATATAATTAATTAAAGTCTTACAAAAATGCCCAAGATAGCACAGCTTGATGGGCAAAGGTCTGTCGACAGACCAGGTCAGCACCTGGACTCTTCTACTACAAAGAAATCGTGCTCTCCAGAGAACACGAGTCCAGTGGCAGCGTGCTTTATACCACTGCATCTGACGCATTGTGCTTGGTGATGTAATCTTTGGCTGGAGCTGCTCAGCCATGGAAACCCGTCCATGAAGCTCTCTGCGCACTGTTCTTGAGCTAATCCGAAGGACACGTGAAGTTTGGAGGTCTGTAGTGACTGACTCTGTAGAAAGTCAGCATGTCCTGACTCCGCTCAGCGAGTTTACGTGGCCTACCACTTTGTAGCGGAGTTGCATTCCCAATCACTTCCATTTTGTTATAACACCATTAATAGATGAATAGCTGACGGTGGTACATTTAGTAGAGAGAACATTTTATTCATGACTGAACTTGTTGCACAGGTGGCATCCTATCACAGTACCACGCTGGAGCTCACTGAGCAACTCATTCCTTCACATGTTTGCAGAAGCAGTCTGCATGCATAGATGCTAACTTTTATACACATGTGACCACTGAAGTGATTGGAACACCTGAGTTCGATGATGGTTTTTAGCAATAGTGCACTTTTCCAAAGTTTGGTGGCCCATAAATAAAGGTGGTCATTCCAAATATTGACTTTTGAGCTCGTTTGAATTACGCAAAATCATTTTTTTCCATGTATGTTTGCACATAAATTGCTGCACCTATTTCACATTGCTTTATCGAAATATAAAGAAATTAGGGTTGCCTGATACTTTATGTCCCACAGTACTGTGTGAGATTTGCCCACTGGATGAGTAACAGCGGTGCCACTTCAGTTGACGTCCATATCTCCGACTGTAACTATGCTTTTGTCTTTTGTCTTGCATGATATCCACTGAAGAACAACAGCCAAGCGTAGCTTCTGCAACTCGTATTTTTTTTTATTATTGCAACCAACTGGAAGACAATACATCACATAAACATCATTGTAGTTTCTCAGAAAATGGAAAACAAAATAAAACAACATTTATATATTTTTTGCCACGGTATTGGACAACGTTGATATTTACATGTAGTGATGAAATAGGTCTTGAAATCATTCTTTGGCAATATGATTTGCACAATAAGGAGAAAACTGAACATTTACTGAAAAAGAAAAAAAAACAAAGAAGAAGAAGAAAACAACACCTGGGTGTACCCTGCATCACATCGCACAGATCAATAACAGTTTTGCATTTTGACATCTCTAACCTATGGCTTTCCAATATTCAGCTCAGACAGTCACGGAAAAAATAAAATAATGGCAGTATTATAGATAAGTCTGTCAGAGAGAGAGAAACAAAACGAAAATTTAAAAGGCGCGTAAAAACGTCAACAAATAATAAAAAAATAATAATAATGGCAACTATTCTTCTAGGAGCTTTTTGTGGTACGTTTGGCAGGTTTGAAAGAAAACACTTTGCTGTTTGGGGGCTTTTCAGGCAGTGAAGTGGATGCACTTTGCTTTAATACGTCCAGGTACAGTTCATGTGTTTTACCAGGACTCAGAGGTGAACAGATCTTCTTTCCTGCATGTCACAGAGTGAGCCCGAGGCAGAAACCCCCAAAAAACAAACGTGCGCTGCTAAAGCGACACGTTCTACCCCCTCGACATGCCTCTTGCCAACTCAACGCGGTTACTAGTCACCACAGCGGCGGATTGGTACATCGAATACAGCGGAGTGCTTGACCCGGGAGCACTCAGACACACATCAGACGACAGACAGATGGCACACAACGACAACACTAACAGTGTCTCCTTTACCCCCCCCTTTTTTTTTCTTTTTTCTCTTTATGGGTACCACACAAAATGCAAGGCCAGTGATGCATGCTACAGGTGGCGAAAGACTGTGCCGGTGGATGGGGGCATGCATTTGTTTTCCTCCCGCTTGGCTCGCTGACGATCGTTCAACGTCTCTTCAGCTCAAACAAACCCCCACCCCACCTCTCCCCCGTCTGGCTCTGCTGCTACAGCCAAAGCCCAGCCTACGTTTTCACCTAAAAAGCGGCTTTATTTTATACGCAGACGAGGGTCGGATAATACTTGTGCGCGCATTCCCGTTTTAGCCATGATGCACCTGGGGTTAAAAATACTGTCTGTAAATCAGAGAAAAGAAACGTCCCCTTCCCATGTCGTCTTTTTTTTTCCTTTTCTTGGAGATATGAGGGCATCTACAAGGTCTCCCGCGCCCCTTTCAAACATTTACACCGAACAATGCCGATGGAGAGGAAGGACACGCGTACATTTACACACTGAAGTAAAAGTAAAAACAATACTGTTATAAATAAAGACAGGTTCTGTCGTGACAACAGAGGTACTGAGGGCAGGCAGGCAGGCACGATGTTAAAGGGTGTGTGTTCCTGGGCACACAAACGCACACACTCCACAGACGTGTTCTGGAATAACACCGGGTTTAACATTGAACACCTAAAACAATTAAATTAAAAAAAATAAAAGAAATCACTGTACAGGCAGAAGTTGTCGTAAGCCCACCCCCCCAAGAGGTGTTTCAGCTGGCCTACGTTATAAGCCTGAACCCGAAGCCCAGAGGTGGCGTCCTTTGGGCCTCTAATTGCAGAGTGATCTCCCACGTTTCCTCCCTGAAGACGTGTCTTTGAAAGCCCGCTCAGAAAAACAAGGAGACGAAATAAAAAAAAGAAAAGAAAATCTCCAATATAATCACGGGTATAAGAATTGGCGGCAAAACTTTTTTTTTCTTTCCTCTAGGATCAAGGTTTATATGAAAATAAGTCATGCTTCATGCTAAATACATCGTTTATCTTACATGATCTTTGAATAAAAAAGATTTGCTTTTTATCTTATTTACAAGCACCCATGCAATATAACTGAGAAAGTCCTGCAGGTCAAATTGCTTCAATTAAGAAAAAGGAAAAAAATAAAATATTTTCTAACCTTTTTACAGAGTTGCCCGCACAGGGGCAAATTGCTTATATCTTTATGAGGGTAGAGTGAGGGTAAACAGACACAAACAGAAACCTAAACCCACAGTTCATGTATATAGTTCTTTGTCAAATGAAGAGGAAGGTGGTGGCAGCTACTGGCAGCTATGATATCTATACCAGGTGTCTACGTCGTCTAATGGAGAGAAGTACGAGGGGGTGGAGGGAGGAGGTTTTACATTATGCAACAACAACAACAAAATGAAGGAGATATTGCCTCAGACCCGGCACACTATCCGTCTCTATGGTGATAAAACATGACCTTTTTTTTTTTAAATTTTAATATATTTATTCTTAAATACTATGAGTGCTCTTGAAATAAACCATGTCTTTACCCATGATGCTTTTTATTATAAGTGGCGTAAAATAAGTGCATGAATATATATCACATTGGGTTTTACATTTATTTCCACACTTAAGGTCACTCGCTCTCTCTCGTCAGCTCTACTACGCCATCTTTGAACTTTTTTTGTGTTTGTTTTTTTTCTTGTCAGCTGTCGTATCGGCTACATGAAGCAACCTGGTCGCTTATCTTTGGCACAGTCTCACATTTGTGCTCGTGGATGTAGGAGAGTGATGCCGGCGGGCGGCCGACCCGCCTTTGCCGGCATCACTGCAAGATTGCTACAGATTCACATAGAAACAAACAGGTAAGACAAACAGCCATCATCAGCTCCCGCCCTCCCCCTCCCGGCAACGTGACTCGGTTTTGTCGCGCTCGTCCAAATTAGTGACAAAACGTGCTTTTGTTTTTTCCTTTTTTTATGGCTTTCATCCCCTTTTTAAACAACAAAAAACCAACAAAGACATATGAGAAATACCCATCGATGTTTAGTGTTGCTGAACATGTAGGAAAACATAGATTTTTGATATTGCCACAAATAAGTAGGATTCACCTAATGCCCTGCAGATAGATAGAGGGAGATGACAAGTGTCCGTTGAGACTAATGCTGTAGTAATGTTACCTGTTGACCTAGTTGTGTGTGTGTGTAAATCTGTGTGTGTGTGCTTGGAGCTATAAGCCGTCTGTGTGTGTGTCTATGCTTTGTTCTATGTGTGTGTGTCTTAGTTTCTCAGGGCCTCTTTCTGCTCCTTCTGGCCCTTGGCGGTGCGGTTTGTGATGTTGTTGAGGCAGGCTCTAACCCCCGCCAGGTGGAGCAGCGATCCCGCCGCCTCTTTCATCTCCTCGTCGTCGCTCTCCGGCGGCTTCTCCACCGTCGCCGCGCGCCGCTTCTTCAGCGGCAGCGTGTCACTAATGCCTCTCGCTCGGCTTTTGGTCCAGGGCAAACTGCTCCCAGCCAGAGTCCCGGCTCCCCCCAAACTACGTCTCTGTCCGCGCGGGGGCTGCTGGGAAATGTAGGTAGTGGTGGTGGCGGCAGTGGTGACGTGAGAGTCCAGTGGGATCTCCCGGGGCTCGGGTTTGACGTCTGATTGGATTTCCACGGCGATAATGTCGTCGTCGTCCACGGGGGAGGAAGGGGAGGTGACCTGGGAGGAGCACAGCCTGCTGGGGGATTTGGCGGTGCTGTAAGTGTGGTCGTCCTGGAGGTCCTCGCCGCAGGGCGGAGGAGAGTAGCAGGTTGGGCTGTCCTGTCCTCGGCTTAGATAATCGCCCAGGGATGATCTGTATGGATCGAGGACACAGAGCGGGAGAGAATAACGTTACTCGTGCTGTCACACTGCCAGGCGGGCTGCCTGCCTGGACCTGCTTCACTCCACTGACACTCAAGCGTCTCTGCTTTACTAGAAAAAAAGTTCAGGTTCTAATCTATCAGCCACAAATAGCTCCCTCGGGCCTCATGCGCATATTTCTGAGGTCAGATAAAAGCCCGTATTTCACAAAGACTCAGCCTTCCTTTTCAGAAACGAGCTGCCTCATTTTCAGATTGCCACCTTTGCGCCCCCCACCCCAATGACACAGTGCATTTTTAGCAGCGCCCATTGTCTGGAAGGTTGCTCAGCACATAAAGAACCTTGCGAACTCTAAAGTCAGAGCGCCTCGACGGTGACGATTCTGCGGCGAGGCCGTTTAACTGTTCGTCCTCGTTACACTGCGACGCGCATTTTGCTCTATTAGTCGGGAGACACTTTTCGCTGTAAAGCGTCAAAGGACGGCGTGGGGTGGGGGGTAATCCTGACAACCCATAAATCAAAAAGTAGCTTCAGCAGCGTGCCCTGTCCCCCCGGACATCCCCCCCTCCCCCCAGAATGAGAGCGTGAGCATATTAATATCTCATAAGAAAAACATGCACTCCCTTACAGTGATCAAATATTCACTGCAAACCTTTAGTGAGCCTTTCGGGTATGTTTAATTCATTATGCAGTGCAGGCCATCATACTCTCGTGCTCCTGTGATGGATGTGCATGTCCGTGCATGCTCCCAATGTTCTTTGAATCACGAGGCCTCTCCCTCTAATAAACCTGTTTGTGTTTGTGTGTCTGCGAGAGGCCATTATATAAACACACCTGGATGAAACGTCGTGCACGGCGGGAAGCGTGTGAACGCCTCTGACTTTCGAGCACAATAAAGATGTAATTATGTAAACTATCAGTGGAAAATTTGGGAGCTCCCCGAGCTTTGTGCCACTGCATGTAGGTGCAGGCGTGTCTGTGGGAGAGGGAATGCGTCTGTGCAGCCCCCGCTGGTGTTAATTATACGTTTGAAGGCAGCAGGAGCAAAGTTTACCCACCTTATGGCCGAGGTTCTGCTCCCCACAGGGCTTACAGGTAAGGGTCTGATAACAGGGAAGAGGGCCTGGCTCCTGACACGGGCGCCATTTTGGATCACACCTCGAGGAACTGAAAGAGAGAGCAGATGGAACATCAGTTACACGCAAGACACGAATCAGTTTCAGTGACAAGCGGAGGGATAAGAAAAAAAAAAGCCAGCAACAGAAGAAGCTCCTAAAAAACAAAAACCTCTCAGATCCGACCTCCACGAGACCCGGGAGCAGCTCGATGAGCATCCACTGTCCATTCGAGGAGGCCAACGGGGCAATATTGATGAGCGAGGCAAGGTTAAATTGAGCAGGAAAGCGTCATAAATGAGTTAAGGCCGCTGCAAATCATTCAATTACCAACGACCGCTGGGCACGGCCAAATCCAGCCTGCCTGATACAGCAGCCGCTGGAACGCAAAGGGGGAAACCGCAGATCTGAAAATCTGAAAGGCACATCTGTTTCGAACCCAAGTGTTAAAATAACCAAGTAAATCTATTTTTTGAGGGAGAAAAACGGGACAAATTCACATCTTTTTACGTTACTAATTTATCTGCTGATCTTTTTTATTGGTTCGTCTCAAATGTCAGAAAACAACATTTTCCACAGCGGGTTAGTATTTTGAAATTAAAGCTGCAGATAAAAATGATTCAGTGTCTATTTCATGAAACCGTCATTAAATTTCACTTTTTCCCCCGTTTCATCTGAACCTGCAGCCTGAACAGGTCTCTCTTGTAAATGAGACTTTGTGTATAAATAAAGGTTAAATAAAGACATTCAATGACTTTATATTTTTTTACCTTCAAACTTTATTCAGTGAAGAAAGTCTTTTACTGATTAATGGCTGTGTGGCAAATACATTCAGTGGTTATCTAGGCAACAAGACTTCCATTTCTTTGTGTCAGACATGAATATAATAGTTATCATGACTTTTTCAACTAACTTTTAACTACTTGATCACATGACAAATGGCCTATAAGACTTCCATCATTAGCATTAAACTTGAAGGTGAACTAGTAGCTCAACAGATCGGTGTTAACGCCACAGTAAGAAGCTCAAAGAACCCTCAGCAGACCTGCGACATCCGACTGCGTTGGGCAGCGAGCTCTATTGTTGTGGAAGAAGTTTGTCTTCCAACAGTCGTCCATCTGGTCGAGGCAAGAAAAGCCTTGGTCAGGGAGGAGGAAGTGTAGCCAGTGGTCACGCAAACCAATTTTCAAAGAAACTAAAGAACCCACCAGAAGGACAACTCTGCGGCACTCTGCCTAAGTGCCATTTTACTCCGCTGAAAAAACAGGCATATGGCAAGCCCACCTGGAGTTTACCAAACGATACTTTCTGCAGACTAATGAGACAAAGATTGAATTCTCATGTCTGGAAAGCCAAGCTTTTCTACTGGCAAAGACAGGTGCTGCTAATCACCTCGCTAATGTGGTCACCACATTGAAGCATGATGTGACTGGTGCAGAATACAGAGAGGTCACTGGAGAAAGAAACCCACACAGACAACATCCTGAAACACACGGTCGTGGAAATGGACTGGCTTCGGAACAACTTGGGCCTAAAAATCTGTAGTGACAGACGAAGGTTACGGCTTACAAACCTGAGCCAATCTAACAGCAGGCAGAAAAACGTCCAACCTTTCACCTTGATATTTTAATATCGTGTGTGTGCAGCTAATGTATGGAAATTAGCTTAGTTGCTCCTTTTTGCTGAGAGTTACGCAAGAAGATTGATATTATTCTCGTGATTGTACGGTAAATGTAGAGCTGCAGCGCTAGTTAGCTTAAATTAGCTCAGTTCAGCATAAGATAGAAACACTTAAACAGCAAAAAATATGATATATATTCATTTATTTTTGATTTCCTAAAAGTTGCTGTCTGGTGGCAGACAGTTTATATTAACTTTAAAGAGAACCACCCTGACTGTTAGCTTTTCTTTCCTCTCTTCACGCTACACCAAGCTAACTGGCTGCTAGCTGTAGCTTCATATTTAAAGTACAGACAGTTGACAACATTTAAGAAGCTTCAGTCTTTCAAATAAAGTCACTTTTATGTGTGTAGAACAGGCGTTTATGCAAAGTGTTTTCCAGCTGCCCCAAAAATTATTATATTCAAAACTATAAAGAATGAAAACGCCGAGCTAACCACAAATCATGAAGAATAGATAAAAAAACAAATATAACCAAAGTAATCACTGAAAGAATAAATGTAAATACAGCACTGGGTTAAAAATACTCAGGAGGCAGCGCAGCTACTAGTCAGAAGGGTGGTGGTTCAGTCCATGGCTGCTCCAGTCTGCATGCCAAATATCCTCGGGCAAGTTACTAACCCCAAGTTTCTCTCCGATGCATCCATCAGTGTGCGAGTATGTGTTACGGTTAAATCACTTAAGGATAAAAAATAGTGCTTGGGTGATTGAAGCATGTTGTATAAAGCGCTCTGAGTCATCAGCTAGTGTAGAAAAATGCTATATAAGAACCAGCTGATCATCATAATAAAGAAAAGTGATTAAAAGTGCTGTTTAAAAACAGTCATCTAACTTTCAGTAATACAGCGATAAAAACATCTTCCCCAATGAATCGCGCAGTGACTCAGGTCTGTGAAATTTCGACATATGGTTTTAATTTGTAATTATGAAAGAGATTGTAAACTAAGGGTGGACAAAGTAAACTTTTACAGCTAACCTGCAATCAAGATGCTGGAGAAATAATGTAAAAAGGTTTTTTAGTATTCAGGGTGTTTAAGTATATACTAGAACTTTTTCTAGTTTACAACAATGCCTTAGCTGGAAAAACATTTCAGATTTAAGACAAACATTAAGAAGTTCCACATGATAATTTGTTTCTTAAGCCATTTCAGATTTTCCACCGAGGCCAAAGTCTTGTCTCTGGTTTCCTACTCAGACTGGACTGTGGCAGACCAGAAGGAAGATCTAAACAGGTTTTAAGCTTTAATTGTAATTTATGTGAATCTATATATAGTTTCTACACAGATTATACACTTTGAAGAGAAGAGAAAAGAAGAGCGTACATCTGATCCAAAAGCTCTCATTATTCAAGGCTGGCTGCTCACCACAGTCATCCCAGTTCACTGGAACAGCTGTCATTTTCATCTCTGGGGTCAGTTTGTGTTTCGCAAACGATGACCTGCTGTTTCCTTTTGTCTGCCGCAGAAACATTTGTTAAGGTGTGACTGTGAACACCGTTCATCAAGCCATCAATACACTGCAGCTGAAGCATTTTTGGGAGGAGGGGTTAAATCTCAGCCCATACAGTAAATTTATGATCGATGTTATGAGCAGAAATTTAATTTGCCTCGAGAACCACAAGCTCATTAAAACATACAAGTCCCCCCCCCCCATGTGGAAAGCAATCTTGTATATTTGGTTCATGTTGCCACACACACACACACACACACACACA